ATAGCATTCAATGTTGACTCCAATAATACTTAATACTAGACAAAATTACAAATACTAACGCCATCCGATGAATAGGTAATAAGTTTTAAAATACTTATTTAGGATTGGTGTAAAAAATTGAATATTAGAGATCTTATTATTTTATTGATATTCAATAATTGGACCCACACATTAGCTTCGTTTTAAATTCTGATATAATGTGGTCGAACGAAATAAACGAATTACTGTACAATGTGCGTATTTCCAAACATTCGTATTTATATTTCTGGCAATAATGCTACTGTGCACAAAAAATAGAGCATGAGCTAGAAAAAATCAAAGAAAGTGACACTTGTAAGCCCTTTTCTATTAAAATTGATGAAAGGGTGTCACATAATGATGCACAATAGTTATTTTGCCTTCGTATACCAACCCTATTCCGTATTGTTAATATTATCGGCGATCCGACTCATGTGGGTGCGTCTGAGCCTGTTTTGGGCAAAAAAAATCTTTTGACCAATTGTTTGTCAAAGGCAGGAATAGATTTTTTGTCAAGGTGTTTATCGAAGTTTGACCATGGGAAAATATTGGAGATTCAGGTGCCTCTATCGAATTTTGATCCATTGTCAACCTGTTGTTTGGAGCTATTCGATAAAATCTTCGTGGCTTTTGTTTTCCTTAAACATTTTCCGTGTATTAATGATTCCGTTTTTTGATCACAACGCTAAATAGAACGGTGTAAAAGTTCTTTGTTAAGCCTCTAATCTGTATAAAGCTAACACCTACCAAACTTTAAATCGTCTAACGTTGAAAGGCCGACAATAACAAATTGGTATCAAAGCTTGACAAAGATGGACTCTTGAGAAACTGTCCACCCACTCCCCGTCTATTGATCGTGGTCTGCTAACAATAAATTAATTCTTGTTATGAACATTTTTTATTCCATTGTGTTTTAGCTCTGTATTTATTTTAAAGCCCGTAATAGAGCCTAATAGGCGGACATTGGTCAAAGAAGGTTTAGTATAAAAGATTGGTTTGAAGATGAATAGATTCTTTCAACGCATTATTATTTATTCTGGTTTGTTAATTATTGTGAGTAATGAATGAATTGAATTAAGTTAGAATTTGGCTCGGATTATTGAATATAATATTTTCTAAAGTGTTTAAGAGTTGTTGTGTTTCTCAAAACAGATGATGGTTTGAGATTCAATCCTTTTGACAATTACATACAATGTAACGATCTTAATCGATACCGAAAATGTTATTGGTGAAAAAAAAATTACAATACAGATTATTTGTACAAGATAAGTTTGGTTGTACTGTAAAGGTATTATCACTGTGAGTCATCTTAATGTCATAGATTACGTCTTAGTTGTGAACAAAAAAGGCAATGTTTGGGCTACTGTTGTTATTGTTTGTAACTGGATTTGTATTGTTAGTTGTATTAATCCTTTTCCTTTCCTTGAAAGGATTGTTTGTAAAAACAGCAGTGTTCTCTTTTTTTTGTAGTTTGTGTTTCTCTCCATTTACTTTGTACACAATCTTACTCAAGTATGGATCGCTTTTACTTCGTATTACAGGTAGAAGGTAAATCAAATAGCATTAATTAATTAAATTGAAAGAGTAGTCGATATTGAAATATTTTCTTTTCATTAAAATGGAAATTTGTTTGGGTCCACTATAAATATAACGGTGAAGTACAAACAAGATATTCCAATCTCTCTATTCTGCTTGTCATACGTATTTCAATTTGACTCCGTTTTTCTGTCCACATCTGCATTTATGGCTTTTTGTTCAATTCTAAAATGGTCCGTATCATATCGAGAATGCCTCCAACGTTGTTCTGCACTGTTTAATGGGACCGGACTAATAAATCCAATTTAAATGTTACCAGGGACCTCCGCTGACATAACATATGTAAATCCATACGTCTTTATCTTCAGAATCAAAAACAAAACGCCGTTCGACGCGCTCGAAAAAAAAGCATAAAATCAAGCCGGTCCAGTTGGAAATTCAAAACGGGTGGCCGTCCGCACAATCATTATTCTAAATAAGAAAATTAACTTCATTCCCATAATTTAAATATGTTGCAAAATAAATTATCTGTTGTGGCTTTCTCTTATACTGCTCTAATGGACGTCGGTTGTCAATTGTTAAAATATGTTCTCTTGACGAATTCAATTTATTGGACCAAGTACAGGGAGATGGGAATTCTTTCCCACGACCGTGGTTCGCGTGGATGCATTATTGTAAAGTGCGTGCAGTTGAAATAGGTGATCAGGTCTATTAGCGTGCTTTGTGATATTTATTGCTCGTTAATCATGATTCCTTTGTAAACAAAGCGGTTGCCGTGTGAAGGGATTACTTGACCGTTAAATCAAGATTGTACCGCTGCTTGATTTTATTATACTATTATCTCTATCAACATCGACAGTTCAGCATGCAAAATATAGAATAGGACCCAACCCTACACCTGTTTCTCACAGTATCTTTGTATGAAGACACGAAGATTAACCGTGGTCCAATAATTCCTGACCAAGGATCAAGATTGAGAGTTCCGTTTGTAAATGCGATCCTTCGATATTCGCTTAATGAAGACATATTGAATCGCTAAGCGGCAAAGGACAAGATATAGGCAATGTTTAAATTGACGTGCGGTCCTTTTATGCGGCATCCGTTCAGTTTTGTATCAAACACAATGGTAAAACAATTAACAAAACATTTGGTCAATAAAAAATGATATAGATTGCTAAGAGCATTGAATGTTTTATTAATTCTGGAACCGTACTGCGTATGTTGAAAAAACAAATTTAATTTTAATGATGTATTAATCATTCCAATCCGAGCAAAACAAAAACAACATCAATTAAAAGTCTAGAGAGGACAGAAAACCCATATCAATTAGTGACAAACGCGAAGTAAAAACAAAACGGTACCTCTGTTAATGTTTTATTTAGACCCCGGTCGGGCACGGCACGGTACGAAAGTTAACTTGGATTTTTAAAAGTTTGTTCAAAAGTTACGCTCGCGGTATCCCCCGTCCGTCTGGCCTCGCACCTGATAAAGTAATTTTACGATTCCCTAATTCATACTTTTGAGGAGGGTTTTAAAAAGCCAGAAGGTTTCGTGCCTCTGGACATAATTGGGATCGCGTTAATATTTGACGACTTTTACATTTTAAATTTTCCGATTCCATTCCGTTTACAACTTTTAAAAACATTTTTGTATTGTGATTGATGTTGTGACAGATTTTAAATGTGTGTATGAAAGTAAGTATGTCTGAATTTCTCCAGTAATTACTGGTCTTGTACGTGCATACATATACAAACGACCACATAATGACATCCAATTCCATGTACGTATAAAGGGGGTCCCATTGTTACTCACAACAAAACCCAAGTACCTCGAACTTCTTGCTTTCAAAATAAGAACAAACGTGTCATCGACGAAATGACGCGTGTCGACCAATCGGGCGCGACGGCCGCAGACGACGGTGACGTCACTCTGCCACCGACCAATCCGAGTCGCCCGTCGCCTCCGGTCAACTTGGACTAATTGCCCATGTGTGCGATAACGCTAGTTTTGAGAGGAATCCGTGCGCGAGAGTCGACAGCCGACGCAGGCGCATATATTACAAAATAATGGTCTTATTTGCTAATTTCAGTTGTACGATGTTTTTTAATGTCTAATTTGTATAAATATTTACAATGTTCGTGAAAATTTAATTTTTCAAATTAATCACGTCAGATTTTATTGTGGCGCTAAAAAAGGGCAATTACTCTGACATACACATGCTTTTACTAAAATAGGCAATTATCTAAGTTTAAGTTTAAAAAAACCGCGACGTGAGAATAATTGGCGGTCTAAAATTATAAATTCACTGGTCATCCTATTGTGAGTAAAGTAAAGCATGGGAAAGAACAAGAGATGCTTACACTTTTGCTTATAATTTTTAATTAATACACCTAACTGTTTGATAGTGGGAATCAAATCTAGAAACAATGGGAATGGCATGTGTATTCAGAAAACAGTTTCTAATGTTTTATATTACAACTCAACTCTTAATTAGCTTTTTAAAATTAGCTTAAATATTTTGACATAATTTTTTTCTACTCATCCTTCTAGACTTTAATGATATTGAAGTAAATGATAATTTTGTGCACATTGTAGATTGTTGCATTTATGATCTTGGGGATAATAAAAGCAGAGTTAATTTTACAGGTTATAAATTAATTATAGCTAGCAACATCTTACAACATTGTAGTGTCGCTGGCCTTAAAACTAACAACAAAGTGATTACACGTGATATAATAATTGACATTGCAGTTATGATTATAATTACAAATTTCTACCATGTCCGGATTTTTTAACTTGATCATCGTATTCATCTAATTAGCCATTTTATATTTTTTATTAATAATCCTTTCGTGACTACCAATAGCTTTATTGTCTTGTTAATTTTCTTTTCTGCTATCAATTTTAGTTTTGTCTTTTATTGTAAAAAGCTGTCCATTATCCCCGAGTCGGGAAGACTGGTATGAATATTTTAAAGCGGCTACTTAGTCCTCTTTTCATGTTTCCCTTTCGGACATGTGATGACCACGGACGCAGTGTCAATATTGCCACAAGCCCGGTATTAAGTAGCTCGTTGCCTGAGTGAATAGAGTCTCGCCGGCTCTGGCATATTGTGCATGTGGACTGTGTGTTTATTTAGATGATGTTTTTGTGCAGGGTTGGATGGAACTCTGCATGGCCATTGCATTTTTTTGTTTTAAAATTTAGTATTTTTCCCAGTTACAACACTAACATTCAAAATATTTTGTTGGTAGTTTTTTTTTGTTTATTATGGTTATAAAAATGGGTTAGGGTTATTTGCTGAGCTACAATTTATTTGATATTTGTATGTCCATATTTTTTTTCTAAGATTTTGCACGTAAGCTTTGATGGATGGTTTTTTGCAAAGTTTAGCGAAAAATTAAACTCGGCAGGATCATTTACTTAGTAAAGTTCTTAAATCTTACCTTGCGCGATGCGTACAGCTGGCATCTTGATTCTCATCTTGATTTGGTCACCTATTTTTAGATCTTCAACAACTTCTTGATCCTCGGAATTTTTTATCTAAATATCTTTGCTATCTTACGACAGTTCTTTAGCTCACTTCACACGTGCCGCCGTCGGTCCAGCGGCTTATCGTCCTATTTCTAAAACGTTATTGATAACGGAGGTCGTGTTATCATAAATCCCCCCTTGAATGTCCGACGGTAAACATGAATAAAACTTTTAGTCATCTTCTTAATTTTTTCATAGTTCACGAATTAATATCCAACTTTTTTATCTTACTTTTTCCTTTTCATGTTGTGGTGATTCAGTTCACACGTCAGCCGAATGTTTGCTCGCCAAAATCGACTGGTCATAAAGAGGGCCTTATCAACACTTGAATGAGCGTCTCAGTGCCCTATCTAATCTATCCACACCTAGTGGCGATCCTGCGATTCGGTAAACGTTTCATTTGGTCACACTTCATTAAATATCATCTGTTTAAACTTCTTCACTATTCAGTCCGATCAAACGAAAATTTTAGTCACTGTCCAAAAAAACAAAATAATCTGTATTGTCCCGGTGAAAATAATTGTATATTTCACCGTATAAATTAACGCCAAAAATAACACCAACATAAAATAATTTTAAAATGTTAACAGTTGTCTTGTGTTTACGATATATCGAAGTAGCGTCTCGCGATCGAGCACGTCGCGCGTGCGAATCGGTGCGAGGCAGGTGCGCGGCCGGCCGCCCGCTCTCGCCCGATGTCCGAGAGCGTCTGTCCTGTGTCCCTTTGCGCGAGGGCTCCGCGGCCTCCTCATGTCCACGACTCGCGCTGTCTCGCTCAGCCGGCCGACGACGGCGCGTGCGAGTCCACACGAAGTGGCCAGGGGTTACTCGCGGTCGCCACCGCCTCGGCTGATCGACAGAGACCGTGTCACGCGTGCTCTTCCACCAGACGCGTGGGTGGGAGCGAGACGGGCATAAATCATAAGTGCCGTGCGTCAGTGTGCGTGCGCGGGTGGGGCGAAGATGCAGCGCGTACAAAAGAAAAGGGATAATATTTGCTTGCATATTTCATGACTCGATTAGGAGATGGAATTTTTAATTGAATGGACCTAAGCGCGGTCAGTTGTCGTTTTAAAGCGGATTTCAAACATTAAAAACTTGTACAAAAGGGTTTTATAAAGTTTAATTTGGTTTAGTAAAGAGTTGTGTCTTTATCGTGGGATAGAGCTTTATATTGTCAAATTTAATATAAAGCTTGATTTAACAAAATTTAGTAGCCTGAGTTATTGCTTTAAAAAAATTTCTTGTGCGATAGCACCGTAATAGTACAGTATACGGTATATACGTCAGTGTCATTGAGTAAACGGCACGTTAACGTAGCAAGCGGCTACGTACGCTACGCGACTCGTAGCACATTGTCAACGTAGTTCAATGGAAAAATCTAACGGTGTGTGCTACGTAGTCCAAATAAGTTTTGTATAATGTAACATTTATAGAAAAGTAAATGGTAAAAACAAACAAAGTCGTGTGGTAAACAAAACAGCGGTTACGGATATAAAACCTTCAAAACACTCCGTAGCTTCCGCAAACTTTTATTCGCACAAATAAAAAAGTAAGAACATAAAACTACATTACCGAAAAATTCAAGAAAGCGCAACACGTAAAGCTAGATCTTCACTCTCGCTGGCAAGTTTTCGCGGCACATTTTTTTCCCTCGCCGCCGTTATTTTACTTAAGACGCCGACGAACTTATCTCGGTCGGTCCTTGACTTTAATAAGTTTTATGAGTGTCAGTCGGGACTTAACTGGCGCGAGAACGAGCGTCGAAAAAGAACTTTTTCATAATTGTTTCTCGAGTCAGTCGCAAACTTCGCGGGACTGTTCGATTATTGAAATTTCAAATTGTTCTAAGTGATTGATTGTTTATTGATTTCGTTATTTTTGTTGTTTTGTGGGAAGATGTTTTTCGAGACTGCTTTTGTTTTTGATTTTGTTAGGTTTTCGTATTCAAATTACGATTCATATTGCAATCAGATTTGTTTAACTGTATTAGGTTTGACTAACCAAAATATTAACAACAAATATATAGATTTTTCAATTATTAAAACCTTATTTTAAGAGGGATAAAAATTAAAATCTCTGCGTTCTGTACTCAACCTAAGCCCTCAATCGCTTGACCAAACACACCGTGATAGGCTGCACACTCACCTTTTAAAAATCGTGGTCACTACTGTCCAGTGACATAAAACCTCCACTCTATACCCGTCCTTGTCTAATTGTCTCATATGAACGGCGATAATAGAGACAACCAAAGGGTTGTACGGTTTTCTCGAGTGGAAATCTGGATATAATGACCGATATATGTCTATCTCGTTCATATGTAGGGGTGTGTGGGTGTGTGGAAAGGGATGGTAGTGTACACGGACTTGGTATGGGTGTGTGGGGTGAGTTTTCACGTCGCTACTCGACGCTAGGCGGCGTGGAAAACGCCGTGGTTTTTCGTGGAATATTTTAAGTGCTGTTTGTAAATTTTACTACAGGAGTGAGTTTTCGTTTCTTAAAACCTTTTAAATATGTGATTTAATATAATGCCTGGGTTTGTGTAAGTTCATAAGATGTAATAAAATGTTTTCATATACGTCTCAAATAATAATATTCATATTGACTAATCAATTTATGAAGTATCATAATCATTTTATTACGACGACTATCTTCAAAGAATATCTTGTTATTCCATTATAAACTGTATCAATAGTATTTTTGTGGTCGTTAATCAATTGAAACGTAACCAATGTCATAACTAGTAGCCTTGACTTTCATATTTTAACAAAAGCTGTATTTCAATTGTCCATAAAATTGTTGTTTAGATTTCCTGTCATAGTTTCAAGTATCAATGTGAATGTCATGCATTCAAGCGTTTTTCAGTTAGTTTTATGGTTCAGTTAGTTTAATATATAGTTGGCATGTATTTCTTTAATGTTTATTTTCATTTTCTGGGTATTATGATAGAGTGTAAGATTACCTATGATACTTGATCATTTTAATCAATGTGTTTTGAGTTTTTTTTTAAAGTTGCCCCACACTAGGAATTTCTCAGTGAGTTTGGTTACAAACATACACATGACACCCAGACCCGGAACAACAATTTGTGGGTCACACAAAGAGTTGTTCCATGCGACAATTTTATCTTACTAATATCATAAATGTGAATGCGATATTGTATGGATGTACGTTTTTTATTCTTTCACGCTAAAACTGCTGGACCGATTTGGTTTAAATTTGGTGTCTAGATATGTGATGATACCCTGAACTAACAGATGGGCTTCTTTTTATTAACTAGAACAATATATTCATCAGTGGCATTTTTTTGTACATAATTATATTTATACTTTACTGGTGTGCTTCGAGATCTTTGATGTTTACTTAAATTATTCCTCAGTAAGGAATTCATTTTTAAATCAATCTACGAACAGTTACCATAACAGATTAATTAACCATTAAGTATGGACTAATGATAAGTCTATAGAAACTATTAAATAGCTCTGACAAAGGCAATAATAAAAATACTTTTCACAGCTTTTTATAAATATTTGAGGATTACAAATTAAATGTAATCATATTTTTTTTTAATTTATTATCACTAAGTAATACTTATATTGTTTACGTTTTTTCAGACATGATTGCATCAACCTTGAAGAATTTGGTTTAAAAACAACAAAAAACTTTATTCAGCCACACACTCGTGCATATTTTAATTCCGAATATATTATTTATCTTCAGAAATTTCATGATTAGATTTATGCCTGTGGTTTTGCGATTTTCGGTGTAGTCGATAGAATATCTTTAAATCTTTATACTGTAGATTCTAAGTTATATTTTATTACATTACTAGCTTCCAATCACAGAATCCAGAGGCCCAATCTTTCCCCTCCCTTCATCCTTTCTAAGAGTGATGTGAAATAATAACAAAAATTTATTATAGAGATGCACAAATGTAACCCTGCTTTATAATTGACATTAAAATCAATGGATATTTAAAAACAAACTTGTTTTTCGAAAGTGGCTTACTTTTAGAAGCACAATGATAGTCACAGTTATATACATAGATACCGCTAGACAATCTCTATGGCCTTAGTAAGCGCGGCTCTGAGCACTGCGAACAAGGGTAGCTCTTTGCCTGACCTGAACCAGACACGATCGTACGGCGAGCATCGTTGCGTAGCTCAAAGAGCAAACAGATGACCACAGATGGGTCCCAACAGCGCTGATATTCAGCCGGGGTTGCGGGCCAAGCGCAATAATAACCGCGGCCTCGACCTGGAGCAGAATGAAACTACTGAGTACATCTCAGACACTTTAAAGTTATCATTTTAATGTATCTATCAGTTTAGTTTGTATTTCACGGCGTATTCGCCACGAAAAATAGCCAACATCACAGATGAGGTCAAATAAAGTTGATCTCACTTTAAAGTTATCATTAAATGTGTCTGAGATGTACTGAGAAGTCTCAGTAAGAATAACTTTACAAATTGAAACAAATAATAATGACAATGCACGTACAAAGTCGAAAATAAAAATTAAGTCACTGTAAATTAAAATAATAAATTAGGTTAGATTATAATAAGTTGCTTGACCTCAAATACGCAGAATTCTTATATCAACGCAGAATTCTTATATCAATTAGGAAGTGATATTACCGGGGAAATACAGGTATTAATGACGTAAAGTTAATTGCTGTTTAAAGAATGGACAGTTATGATAAACCGGGTCTTAAAATCGGGGTCTTTTTACATAGCTGTCGCCCAATCTAGTGCTGTCCGGTCGATAGTAGTAAAATGCCATCCCTTATCATTAAAAACCGAATAAAACTGGTTTTTGTTGTAAACAAAATTAAACAACGCATAGTAATCGGTGATAATATAAAATTATCTAAGATAATATTTAAAAAAAATCGCAGTTCATATTACAGTGTCTGGTGTTAACTGAGTCGTTTTTGAAGTACGTTTCAGACATATGTAGTTGGCTATTTCTTCGCATAGTAAGTTCAAATTTTCGTACATTGTATGCTTTTAATTACTTAACAAAAATATGTTATGATATTTACACTTGTTCGTTTTGTTTTTCATGGTTAATAATCTATATTAATTTTGAATTAGCTTTATCTGCGTAGAATTATAGTTTATTTCAATTTCGTCCATTAGTTCCCGAGATTAAGCTCGCAAAATTTTTCAAATAATTTTTCAATCCTCTACTTAATTATTTTTATTTTATTGTAAAATATTTCAAGTAGGTACCTGCAGATATCAATTTGTTCTTTTTTTTATTTTACTTACACTAAACTGGAAGAACGAGAAGGTACCTAATTAAGAATTATGTAAGTATTATAATGTATAAATGTAGGTATTAAAAATAAACCTTTGACCTAGATTAAGTACTTTTTCTAACAAGCTCTAATAAGTTCACTTATTGCTCACTGCAAGTCAAGTTTTAAGTATTTTTTGCTTTACCAATAACCGGGTAGAAATCTATAATTGAATATTTCAACGGATACTTTTTTCTATCATCCTCTGAGACAGATGTGGGACAGGATATACAAAATTGCTCAATTTGAGACATGTAACGTTATACCTATGTATCGAGTTCTATTTTGTGTTGACAAGCTTACTTTTTTTTAAGTTTTCGATGCATGTGACTCTGTAAAATGTATGGTAATGTTAGAATTTAGATATAAAGGATGCAATTTAGAATTTTTTGGTTTTTTGACCTGATGTTAAGCAAACGATGATGTCCATCCGCTGTGAATGTTCAGTACACCTGAAGCTCCTGAAGAGTTTCGCTTGCGTTACCAGCCTTTTAAGAAGTT